GATAAATGGGCAAAACACCTTAACAGGCACCTCGCCGAGAAGACCTGCAGGTGTCAAACAGGCGCAGTGCCCACGGCTTCCTCATCAGGGACACGCACCTGCAGGAGACTCCTGACCCGAACGGGCGGGATCTGGACGCTGACGATGCCGACCCTGGCCAGCCCGGGGCTCAGGTGAGCACAGCCGGGAGCGGCAGGTGGCAAAGCCTCCCCGCGCGGCCATTTGGCCCGTCAGGTCACGCTAAGGTCCAGTAGTCACGCGCCTCCCTGCCCGTCCACACAGAAAACTACACGTAAATGTTGCTCAAAGCAGCTTGGAGCATAACGGCCGGCACTCGGCAGCAGCCCGGATGGGCTCCGGGGGTGTAGACCAAGGACCTGAGACGCAGCCGGACAATGGAACGTCACTCCGCAGCACAAAGAAAATTCCAGGAGCCGTGAGAAGTCAAGGAGGGAATTTGCATGCCCATGACTAAGGAAAAGAAGCGGTCAGGAAGGCAAGCACGTGGCATTCTAGAAAAGGCAAAACTATGCTGTAGGAAGATCAGCTGGGGGGCGGGGTAGGGCCCAAGAGGGAGCACAGAGGACTTCTAGGCAGTGTGATGACTCTGTGACACGGATGTGGCCACCTGCCAAGGGGTCTCTGCCCAAGAGGCACATTGGGGTGATAGCCATGGATGGGTGCCGGGGGCGGGTTGTGCCGGGGGACGCACATGGTGTAGCAGGTGTTAACAGGCAGGGAGGCTGTGTTTGGAGGGGGAAAGAAACAGCTTTTTAAAAAGGGGGCGTCCCTGGCGGCCCAGAGGTTAGCCTCAGCGCCATCACTGCTGCGGCCCAGCCGGTCCCCGGCCAGGGAGGGACCCACGTGGCGCAGCAGACCACGTCTGTCTCCCCGCCGCTCCCCTCAGCAGCGGACTTCAGTGAACCCACCTGCTGTGCTCCCCACTCTGTCTCTGGTGACTCCTCTCACCCCCCGCACTTCTGGCCTGTACCCCAGTTCTCGTATGCATAAGTAAAACCCTTAAAAAGACAAAACGAAGATCTACGTTATTTTCCCCCACCAGCCCCGCTCTCCCCTCCGCCGCTTACCCTCGGAAACCTCCCTGCGTGACTTGCTGTCTGCCAGCTTTTATAATATTCTACTTGTCGGGGAAGCCCGGCGCAGACACCGAGTATCTGGCTCTGTCCTTTCTGCTTCGCCATTTTGCTGTGAGTGGCAGCCTCTGGCCCAGGGGTGTCCCCCAGCAGGATGGTCACCCCTCCTTTGGCCCAGTCCCCCATCCCTGGGCACCCAGCTGGTGTTAACCACTGGGATGGTTTTTAAATTCTGAGTTCTGATCTCTCCGGGCCGAGGGCAATGCTCCCCTCAGCCGCACCGTCCCAGCCCACCGGCCTGCAGCCCCAGGCCAGCAGCGCTGAGTGTGTTCTGTGCTTTCCGCACCCATGATTCCACAAACACCCATGTGTGTCTGAGATACTGACACTTTGCCATAAACAAGCCTCGCATGAGACGACTCTGCCTGCTGCAGGCTGACGTGGCCTGAGCACTTTTTTTTTTTAATTTTATAATAGTTTTTTTTTTTTTTTACATATTTTTGTGCATTTCTCCATCTCAGTTGCAATCCCCTTGGATTTCCCATCACCAAATCGCCCCTGAGCCATCACCATAGGTGATGCGGCACTGAGCGTGGAGGTCCGGGAGCGCAGGTGTGTCCAAGGCACTTTCAGTGTGCGTATTTTCAACACCTGCTGAGTCTCTCCAGACGTGACTCCTTGGTGTCGGGGGAGTTCCGTGGCCCAGCTAGCACAGAGGCCATAGCCCCAGCATAAATGCCGATAAAGCAATCAATGGCTGCAGAGAGGTGAGTTGGCACATACGCTGCCTTAGTCGAACTACACTATGTGGGTTGCAAATTTGCGCCACGGCTGACCGCATCTTGTTGGCCATTGGCTCTCAGAGCCGCACCGGCTGGCGCCAGCATCCACTGTGATCTCTGGCCCGGCCAAAGGTGGCAGCTTTGTTTTTCCATTTTTCCTCCAGTCTGTTCCCACCTGACGGGGTGTTTGGCTCGAGAGGCACCATGGGGCACAGCCTGTTTTGAATCTGGGTGCTGGTGAGAGGCGTGTCTGCTCCAGTCCACCAGCCCCTGACCGCTGCCCAGGGCAGGTCCTGCCCCCGACACCAGGCTGACCCTGTCAGCAAGCCTGGGGCCTCCCCACACACGTGTATGGCTAACACTGTTCTGAGCACCACACCGCATTCTAAGGTGAGCTGCTCCCCTCAAAAGCAGGCTTGCAGCTTTTATGTCAATTCTCAGGAAGATGCACCCCAAAAACAGAGGCCCTGAGGGGAAGGGAGGAAGGGCGGTTGGGGGGTGGGATGGAGGCAGCGTGGTGGAGCCGGGGTCCTAGCCCAGCGCTTGATCTGGTCACTGGACGGGGTTGGGGATTGGTGACCCCTCCCTCCAACTCAGCAAGTTTGGGGGGCCTGTCATCAGCCTGAGAACCACTTTCTGATGGTGCCAAGTACATGGTCTTCGGGCCTCAGACCAGCCTGGAGCCACAGGCCTCCGGCCCAGAATGAGCCTCGGAAACGGCGGTTTGCTCAGTAACCAGCCCCACGTCCGGTGCCCGTGGGGGACGCAGCACCGGCCGAACCTGCCAACGCGCGTGGAGCAAATCCTGAGTGGCCGCTCCGGGGTGTGGTGGGCTCCGCTTTCACAGATGAGGCGGCCCAGGCTCGGGGAAGGGGAGCTTGTCCAGGTCAGCCAGAAACTAATGGCGGCGTTGGGGTTCAGACACGAGCGGCAGGCGTCTGCTCGAGACAGGAGGAGCGCTGGGGTGGGGCAGGCAGGAGGTCTGACAGACAAGGGACCTGAGAGGAGATGACAGGGGCACCCCTGTGTTCCCGGGGCCCCCTAAGACCTCTTGGACAGCGACTGGGCTCATGCACGCTTCACTGTCCACAAATTCCGGGGAGTCCCAGCAGATCACACCTTTCAGTCCATTCTGTGGGTGAGGAGTAGGCTGGTGGCTGGTGGCGCAGCGAGCCACACCCTGGCGGGGCCAGGCCGTCGCCAAGGCGTCCACCTTCTCTCTCAGCCTCCTCCCAGCCCCCACTGACCTCACAGGGGCCATTCCGGGCCGGGCGCACGTGAAGGTGAGCATGAGCCCGAGCGCACACCTCTCACTGCACGTCCACAGCGACAGGTGTCCCCGCCCTGGGCTCCCGCTCAGCCCCAGGTCTGTGCGTGCCTGCGCTCACGCTCCCACGCGCCTTCCGCACAAACATGAAGTCACGGAGGGCGACGGTGCTCCTTGGGAAAAACGTGAGACTTTGGGGCCCTGGTGAGCTTCACATGTGTTGGGCTGGGCAGAGGAGGAAGGCACAGAGATGGGGCGCAATTCCTGGGCAGCCCCTCCGGGAGCCTGCGCCCACTGTGGCTCCGCACCCACCCCCTTCCCACCAGCGACGCTTGCCAGTCCTCAAAGCTGCCACCCGCCCTCGGCAACAGTATGAAGGGATGGAAAGCCGATTGGCTTTACAAAAGGGGAAACTGAGGCACAGTGTTTCTAGCCAGAGTCTGCCGGCTCCCGTCTCTTGAGCCACATTACCTTTCTGCTCCCCAAGCCCCAGGCTGCTGCAACAATTCTGTGGACTCAGTTTCCCTGTCCTCACAGTTTATTGCTCACAGACGGTTGTGAGGATTCTTTACAAGGTGGTGAAGACACGGGGTCCACAGGCTGACGGGCTCCGGGCGCCCTGGCACACCTCAGCTGCCCGGAGGTGGGGGCTGCAGAGGCCGTATCCCGGACTAAAGCCTGGCGCCCACCTTGGTCCTGTCCTTACCCCTGAATGCCAAACGCAGCCTCTCACGGTACTGGAACTGACCAAGGAACCCCCCAATCAAATGCCTGCCAGCCCCCTCTGCAGGGGCTGCTCTGTGGGGGGTTGTCCCTCAGTGGGCACCAATCAAATATGGAAAAGAGCCTGCAGCACATTTGCTTAATTGTCCCCTAAGCAGGCCTGGCCCCACCTGGGTGCCTCTGATTTCATTAGCATTCAGCTGAGGATCCCCCCCCCAAAACCCCCTGCCTCGGAAAACCAGGACACTGGAGTTTTTTCAGAGAAGAGGGGAGGAGGCCCCAGGTGGAGGAGGGCAATGGCCTGTGGAGACCACAGCCAAGTTCCCGGGCAGCAGGAACCTGGCTCTGCATGGACAGGCACTGGCCCAGGGAGGACGGGCTCCGAGGACCTGCCTCTCCCACGGCCACCCTCACAGGCCCCCACCCCCATCCCGCACCCACAGGCTATTAACCATCAGCACCTGCCTGCGGGTGGGGGGGGGGGCTCACTCTCCTCACTCTGGTCCTGAGCAAGGCCCAGGGAAGAGCCCACAGCAGAGCCTGGGCCCAGCCTCGGGACTCTCCGGCCTCCCACCAGCCTCTCCGCCACCATCTTGGCACCTGCCCTTCCTACTGAGCAGAGGCTTTCCCCACCTTGTCGGAAGACCAGACAATCTCCCTCCCCGCTCCACTCCCCTCACTATCACTGATTAGTCACAGACTCAATGAATGCATGAGGGAGTGAGGGATGACTTCCTTCAGCCTTTAAGTCCACAAGACCTAAGGCCCGAGCATTTCAAAGGAAAATGGGAGGCAGGAAACACTGTTAACGAGGGCCCAGGGGGCATGCCAACAGGCCAAACAAGCTCCTGCCAGCAGGGTGAAGGTATTTTCCGTGGAGTGCTTAATGGAATGGTAGGGGGTGCTGCTGTGGATGGAGCCCAGGAAGACCCCAACAGGCCGAATTCCCCAGGCGAAGTTCCTGCCACCACCTCTTGGCACAGGTGAGGCAGGTGCTGCTCAGGGGCTGGACAGACGGGGAGATGGGCTCTCAGCCGGGAAGGACAAGCCTTGCTTGTCCTGGTGGAGGTGACTGGGGAGGTCCCAAGGCCGCTGCCCAGGGCTCCAGCCCAGATGTTGTTTGGCTTGGGGGTCATGGTTGACAGACACCTGGAGGAGCTCCCGTCCTCCACCCACAGGCTGAGCGACCTGGGGGGCGGGGAGCGACTCGATCCCCCTGTGTTCAGCTGCTTCCTCTATGAAGCCTGCGTGATCCAGGCCTGTCTGCGAGGCTCAGGTGACCGCCCAGGTGAGCCCGGGCGATCGCGCTCTCGGGGAGGCGCGGGCCCCGCCCCGCAGCAGCGGCCAGCCAATCAGCACGCAGCCCTCGGCCGGCGCCGGGCTCGGCGGTGCGCAGGCCCCGGGCCCCGCCCCTCTGTCGGAGCCGGCGCTCGGTCGCCTCGAGTCCGCCCTTCTCCGTGGTGCGTGTGGTTTTCTTAGTTTTGCTTGAACAAGTGAGGGCCAGTTTCTCTCCGCCGGCGGCGGAAGTCCTGACAGATCCCCCACTACGCCTAGACGCTCTTCCTAGCTCTGGCAGAACAATTATCGCGGCCCCCACCCCCACCCCGAACCCCAAGTCTGTGAGCACAGCCTGGAACGACCCGACTCTGGAACTCTCCTCTGCTCGCTGCTCCACCCCTGCCACGTGGCTGGTCATGGGTCTCCTCTTCCAACTAATTAGAGATGCGGCAGCTTTGCAGCCTGTTGGGGGGCACTTAAGTAGCCACCACCTTGCGTGGTGGGTTAGCAGGGTTGTCAAGGCTCTGGGCTCCCACTGGGTTTGAATCCCACTTCTGCAAGGTGCTGGCTGGGCAGCCTGGGGGTGGTGACTCCCCATCTCTGAGCCCCAGAAGCCCTGTGCTTCTCAACCTGGAATTTAACAGGGTGCTGCACCCTGGAATTTATCAGGGCTGGGTCTCTGTGGCTGACTGCTGGTCTCCTGTCACCTGGAAGTTCCCCGAGCTGGTTGGGGGATGTGGTCCTGACTCAGAATGGGGACTCAAGACATGCACAGGTGGGGGGTGGGGGTGGGGTTTATCATCTGTAGAATAGGAGCTGTGACAGCTGTCTATGAAGATGGGGAACATGTGTGCCCTCTCAGTCCATAATGGGGGCCTGCCGGGGGGAGGTTTGTGACTGTCTGGGGGCTCCGGCAGGGGCTTAGGTGGATAGTGACTTCACCCACAGAAGTCGCTTTCCCCGTGGTCTGGCACAGCCAGGGAGGAGGGGAGAAGGAGGTGGGGTCCGCGGGAGCCCCTCCCAATGGCTGTTCCAGCGGAGCTCCAGCTTTTGTGGGCTGTGCCAAGGACTGGGTGGGGCTGAAGATCCTGGCAGTCCCCAGGGACTCCCACACTCGGCCCTTGCTGAGAGTCGGGTGGAGACGCTGCCTGCACCCCCTTGCGTCTGGTTCCCCCTCAACTGCCAGGAGACAATGGGATAAACAAGCCTACTCACAAGGTCCCGCCCAGGGTGTGGCCGGTGGAGGGACAGTTGTTGCCTTAATATGGAGCTAGTTTGGGCTGGGACCGTTCCCAGTCCCCTTGCTGGGGCGTGAGGGTCCCTGGGGACCAGTGGCTGCCAGGGGTGTGGCTGGGTCTTCAGCCCGCTCTCTCTCAGGGCCCACATGTGAGTTAATAATAGCAACGGCAGTAATAATAACAAGAGCAGCTGCCAGGGGCCCGTTACACGTGAGCTGCTTCCTGCCCAGCTCAGCACCCTCACCACCCACCTGCCACCACCCCCGCTTGACAGATGGAGAAATCGAGGCTCAGGCTGGGAAGCCAGTCAGGCTTGGTCTGGGTGCTGGCGCACTCTGGTTGCCTTTCTTTGGGGTGGATGTTGTCTTGGGGCTCAGCCTTGGCTACCAACTCTCCAGGGCTGCTGCCCTCTGACCAGGTCCAGCCCTCCTCAGGGACCTGCCTGAACCCATGAAAAGGTAGAGAGGAAATTCCGGGGTGGCAGGGTACCCCCTTAGCCCACCACTGCTGCTGAAGAAAACTGAACATGCACCATGCTCCCTAGGGGGCCAGTCAGGGAGGCCAGGGCCCTAGTTTCTTCTGCAGGGTCCGAGAGCCAGAGGGGCCACCCCCAGGTCACTCTGCAATTAGGCTCACGCGACACCCCCCTCCTCCCTGACTGGGGCTCCACCCCATGCTCTCTACCCTGTCCGCAGACCCACTATTCATTTTCCATCTGGTTCTGGTTTGGGGAGGAGGGGGGAGGGGCGGGTTTAGGAAGAAGCTGAGGGCGGGCACCGGTGGAGGTACACCCGATACAGTCACTTCTTTTTTGGCACCCCAAACTCTGCATTTCCCCCTGCCACTCGCCCCACAGGCCCCGAGACCGCTGGGTTGTCACGGAGCCCGCACTGACGGCTGCGTGGTTGGGGGTCCTGGCTAGGCAGAGACCCGCTTTCCCGCGAGCAAAACGTCGCGTCTAACCAGCGCCCCACGGCCCGGCCGGTGGTGCGCAAGCGCACACGAGCGCCCCGGAGTCCCTGAGGGAGCATATCTGAGTATCTCAGCCTTCCTCCCTCCCAAACCATCTTATCCAGGCCTTCAAGAAGTTGCAATTAATCTCTCATTTGAATTGTTAACCTCAAATGCCACATTATAAAAATAGTTGTGTTGTGTTTTATAGATGGTATTTGTCATGAAATTATACATGGTCACAGCTTGTGCCACGGAAAATAAAGCAAGATGCCCGGTTCCGCTCGGGAGCGGTGGTGAGTTCCAGCCAGACTGGGGCCCCATCAAGCCCCCGCTCCTTCCAGAGGGGCCACCCCGGGTCACCAGGCCAGGCTGGGCAGCAGCAGAGGGGCGCCGGGCCTGGGCCCAGAACTCTTCCTGCAGGGCCTGGGGAAAACTCTCGCCTGGCTCTTCCCTCTGTGGAGGGGTTCATAGCCCCACTGCTTGTCTGTCTCCTGCCCCCAAGTGTCAGGGCCAGCTAAGAGAAACCTGCACCCCTGAGCAGCTGCAGGGCTGTGGTAGGCAGAGGGTCTGAGTCCATCGGCCCTGGGAACCCAAACTCCAGGGGCTCAGTTTATTGCTCATTTTGCTAATGAAGAATTGGAGGCACCAGGGCTCCCCCAAACTCTGCTATTAAGTTTGGGGCCAGAGTCCCACAGCCCAGAAGGGTGGCCTGCCCCCCACCTCAGGGCAGGGACTCCATGGGGCCCACATCAGCTGCATGGGCGGCTCTGGGGGCGGTGCCTGCCTTGGGGTCCTGCCCCCGCTGTGTCAATGAGCTGATCTGGTTTCTGTCACCTCTTCCTGTCCCTTCTTAAGGGAACTCTGTGACAGAGAGCTTAAGGGCCGGTGACAGAGTGACTACTGCCTGGGGCTCCGGGCAGCAGGCGTGAGGACAGGCCAAAGACCAGGCACCCCGCATTTCCCAGGCACACCCACATGCTGAGCCTCAGCTTCCTCATGGGGAGCCCCCAACCTCCTAGGGTATCTGGGGACCCCATGGTTGGACCCACCTGCACATGGTGTGTGCACAATAAACAGAGCTCACTGTCGGGTCTCAGTGGTTGTGGGGACGAGCACCTCACGCCTCCCCACCCCGAGCTCCGTGGCAGGGCCCAGCCACCAGCGCCCTGGACCTCCCACTCCTCCAGGGGGGCCGGATTTGCAGCAGTTCCCTGGGCCTGGTCTTGCTAATGGAGCTAGTGGATGGATCTGTTCATGGACCTGCTTCCGGCTCAGGGGTCCTGGGGCCCCTGGGGCTGGGGGGGAGGTCGGGCCCAGAGACCTGCCCTGCTGGTTCTGAATGACTCCGGGACCAGGTCTGGACCTGCAGGTGGCTGGGCTGGGGGACAGGGAGCCCAGGACACAACTGGTTACCCATTCGTCACATCCCACAGGACAGGGAGGCCTAGAAAGCCACTGGGGAGGACTTGGGTGCTCCCCACCCAAAAAGGAGCAGCGCTGGAGCCTCATCATCCCCCCCTGCTCCCGGAGCAGTAGAGCCAGTCCCCTCTGGCTCTGTGGCTGCTATTCCTTCTACCCAGAGCGCCTTCCCAGCCTCTTCTAGCTGCGTCTTTTCATCCCTAGGCCCTTCTGAAATTCCGCCTCCTCCAGGAAGCCTTCCCGGAATGCTCAGACCAGAGAGGGGCCTCACTGTTCTCAGAGCAGCCCTGGCCAGGGCCACCGCCCTTCCCGCTCCTGGTGGCCTGACACCCAGTAGGTGCTCAGCATATATTTGAGGAAGGAAGCTGAGAGGGAAGGGTTGGTGGGTGCCTGCCCCACTTTTCCTCCCTGGAGGGAGAACGAGCCCTTTGAAAAGGCCCCAGTCTTGAATTCACTGCTACAGCTACAGTTTCCCTTCAACGGCGCACCCGCATTCAGCTGGCACCAGATCTCTGCTTTCTCTTTTTTCCTTCCCAGTGAAACCAGAGTCGTCCGTTTTTACTTCTTGTCTCCAGCAATTTCCCGCTTCCAGCCTGACGCTCTCCCGCCTGGGCGTGGTGCAGGGCAGCGGGCTCTGCAGAGAGCTGGCCTTCCAATTAAATCACCAGGCCTCCCTCGGGAACAGGAGAGTCCGAACACTGGCGTCCTTGTGGGCTCCAGGGCCCCGCTCCAGCCTGACACCACGGCCCAGACCCCTAGAGTGTGCCCCCAGAAAAGGGGGGGCTCACAGGCAGGACCTCCCTTGGGGTATCACAGAGACCTCTTCCCTGGAGACAGGGGAACAGCCTCCTGGCAGGCCCGGGGACCCTGCAGCTCCTTGACCATCTGGGGGAGCACAGCACAGTACCTGAGCCCTGGGGAGCCTGCCTTTTTCCTGGGAGACCTTGGGCAAGTCACTTGGCCTTTCTGAGCCTCCGCTTGCCCGCCTGTCCGATGGGGAGAATGCTTCACCTCCCTCAGAAGGCTGCGTGCTCATGGGCCCATGGGTCAGCGGGAGCCTTCATGCTCCGCGCCACCCACTGTGGACAAGGCCCCCCGACTGGTGTTCTTCCAGCACAGTCCTCAAAACAGCACCACGCACACGGAAGGGACAGATGCACCCCACACCCCAACGAGCTCTTAAGCCATAGGCGAGGCACGTCTGCAGCGGGGCAGGAGGCAGGGGCTGAGCCAGGTCCTCCACAGGCTAAAGAACTCTTTCCTGGCCCTCCCTGGTGGCGCAAAGGGTTAGGGCGCAGCCCTGCAGGCCGGCTGCAGCCACTTCAGTGCGAGTTCAATCCCCGGCCCCGGGGGTGACCCACGTGGCGCGGCAGACCTCTCTTGTCTCCCCGCTGCTCCC